AACCTTTCCCCCCTCGCCGCCTCGGCTTTACCAGCAGCCGCATTTCGGCCAGGAGACCACGGTGCCGCTGCTCCCGTCCCACTTGGCACCGGTTAAACCATTTCTGCTCGGTTAAACCATTTCTGCTCACGCTGCCGGGGCTCAGCTGAGTTTCCAGCAGCCGCCGGCGCCGTGCGGAGGGCACCGCAATCGTGGTCGGTGAACACGCGTGGTTTCGGCTCTGCTCCTCGCTAGCGCCGTGACCTCGCCAGCAGCCCGTGAAGGCAGCAGAGACGGCTCACGCTATAAATATCCCAGTGCTCGGTGCTGGGGCAGTTTGTCTTTGGGTTCACCGCAGGGGAGCCGGATCGCTCGAGGGGGAGCTGGGCTGGGTGTGCAGCACGTAGCCACGAGGGTGCTGCGTCCCCCAGGAAGGGACGGCTCCACGAGCAGACCTGGTGCTTGAGAGGTCCCGGGAGAGCGCAGCTATTGCCTTGTGAACGAATGTCGCTTGGCCATCCTGTTCCCTGGGCCCGTCAGGAGCTGGGGGGCGAACTCTGCAGGGTCCCTCCCCTTCCTCTCCAGCAGCAGGGGAGGAAGCAGGAGGCTCTGTGCCTCTCCACAGCCGTGCCCCGGCTCTCGGAGCCGGATTTGCAGGGCTGGGAGCTCCCTTGAGACAGGAGAAGGAGATGCTGGGTGCCTTCCACAGGCTCGGGGCCACACAGGGCAGCGTCCCAGGCTCGGTTGGTGCCACTGCTCCCTTCTCCTCTCTCCCGTCGTCTGCCAGGACTCTTGTCCCTGACTCACCTTCGTGTGCGCGGGGAATGTGCCTCAGCTCGAAGCCTGCGAGCTGCCGCGCTAAATATAATTCCCCTGTGGTTTTCTGGGCCAGACACATCAAACTACAGAGAGCTGGGGGAGCGAGGGGGGCTGCGTGAGGCTGGAGTTGCTCGCTGGGGACACCGGGTGCCCTGGTCTGCCTTGCCAGGAGGAAGTTGCGAAGCTGAGGTTGGCAGCCGGGGTTTGCCAGCTGCAGATGCAGCGGCCCCAGCAAGGGCTCGGCCGGAGCCTGAAGTTGACCGAGCTTGGGGCACCCCAT